CCCCCCCGGGGGGGGGGGGGGGGGGGGTCGGAAAAAATACTTCGCAACTCGCAAAATATCCACACGTATCATATGCTAAACCATCGAATAAGTTGTATATATACCACATCGCAATAGGTTTCAAAATCCTATCAGAGCACCCCAACCTAGCTTTGAGTATTTGCGCTCGACTTCAGGGGAACGCAACCTAAACCCCCGAGAAGCCTGAAGAAGAACATTTAGCAGAAATTTTTGTAGTTTGGAAACGTTTTGGAAGGGTGAAGACGTAAATACGTCATAAACAGGCTTCTCGTTCCAAGGGCCTGTAATAGGTGACATTGGTCTTTAAAGGCGCGGTTCGAGAAAAAAATGTGTTTAGAAATGCTACAGGGAAAATTGAGAACACTCAATTCGGATAATTTACGATTGAAACGACAAAAATAGTCAGCTACTCATACTGTTAGAGTGTAGATCTAAGCCAAGTAATTGGGAGGCGATCGAACATTCAGTTTTAAAAATGCTGTGTTGTGTTCAGCTCGTTAGGGGAATAAAAATATTTACTTTATTGTTTAATTAATACCAAGAACTTTCTTGTATTTCACCTTTTATATTTATTAAAACAGCTACTTAAAGTATTCACGATACTGCGCTCATACTTCGGTATTAATAAAGAAGAATGTGGCTTTGTCAAACCCTTCTCCTTGATTTAACTCGTCCCCACAGTTCACTGAATCATACAGACTTCTTCATTTAGTGACATTCATCTGCAGCTACAATTCTAAAGGTTACTCTCAGCTGAATGTGCAATTTTTAAGTGACACTTTTTTGCTTAAAATCACTACTAAAAAATACGTGGTATATCCCCATGAAACCTGAAAAGCTTGTGACATAGGTACTTCCGGTTTCTCCAAAGCTGTTCACATCGTCTTCAATATGAAGTATTAACCTACAAGTTTCCAGTTACTAATGGGTAAAGCATATAAATGGGCATGAATAGATATTTTGGGAATAGATATATGAGAAGAGTAATATCTGTGGACGTTGAATATTTAAAGGAAATAAATATTAACTTACGTCAAGAGATCATAATCTTAGGGCTCTTGCTTATTTTAAATGAACAAGTTGATTGCCGAAACGTTATGTCCTCAATTACGTAAAGGGACAAATTTTACCTCGTAAAACTGTCATAAATCCATTAGTTGATAACCGCATAATAAAAAGCACCTGCATGATTTTTTTTTTAACTTCCTTTTTTGAGACAAAATTTTACCGTACCTATCAGTCTCAATAGCTAAGGGGACTTAGAATCGTATTCCTCATCAAATCTGTTTCGAATGAAAGAAGAGTGACAAGTACAATATTTGTCTGCTCTAATATTGGGAAGGAAGAAAGCGTCGTTACTTCAGGTAAGGGTATATTTCCTGAATCTCCTCCCCCTACAATTGCTTGATATGAAAAGATAAAAAAATACGACTTCTTTGCAGTACTCCGATAACGACAAGTCTTTTCTAGTTTTCTTCTCCGACTAATCATTGATCGAGAAATGTTTCGCTATACTTTAATGCCTCCTCAGATCATATATCTGATGCTATTATGATCACAACCGGACTGTTCATGTCACTCCTTTTGGCAGTAATAAGGAGTTATTCTGGTATGTTTGTTTATTTGTTCTTTTACTAATTAGTCATTTTCATTTTTAAAATTATATAGTAACTGAGTAGCTTCTCACGCGCTGTTTGCTTATAAAAGCAATGGGCGATGAGAGTATTTTTTTAAGCTTTCGTATTATGTGAAGAATATATACCAAGCCTCATTCAATCATTGTTAAACAGCTTTAGATATCAACTAATTACATTGCTCAAAACACCAAGATCGCTGACTGTGAATATGCTAATAAAATAAGTACTAGTTTCGGTTTTTGTGATTTCGGAATTATCTCAGTCTTGGTAAGTGTAAGTAATAATAATAAATAATTTTACTTGCCTTAAATTAAAAATAATTACAAATAATATTTGTAACTATTTAAGCTATTTTCTATTTTCACAGCGGGCTGAAAGTAAAAAACTAAAATGATAAAAGAAGGGAAAGAAAAAAAGTAAGAAACTAAATTAAAAGGAAAAAGACGCTAACCTAATGATCATGAGTCAGTGAAACAGTACAGCAGTACAAGTGTAAGTGATGAGACTTACCAAGACCTTGATTCCGGATATCACAATAACCTCATCCAATAATTGTTCATTTATTTATTATACATCGAAGTTATTTCTACGTCTGTGATTGGCCCAAATCCCACAGTTATTTCTTCATAACCAGCTAGCGTTGACCAGATGTAGAAGATGTTTGCGATATTCGGAAAAGTGACTTCAATAGTACGTAGTAATCGCCAGAAAAGGAACGGCAACCGAGAAGCCCTAGGAAGAGTTTGCGTTGTTTTCGTAGAGCTTATAAATAATAAAACCCTATAAAATGGAGGGACATTTCACACATTTCGCGAAGAAGAAATAGCCGAACTACCACCTAAAAACATAGCAAGAATTATGCGAGAATACAACTAAACTGATGACATCTACTATTGAAAGAATATCTGCCAGACTAATGAAACATTCTTCTGTACCCCGAACTTGTCGAGAAACAGGCAAATGAAGACAGGCACTTAACATGTACATCGATCGAGTTAAGCTCTTTTAGTTTGTTTTAAAAGCTTTTTGTAAATGATAAAGGAATTATTTTGAAGGAACAATAAAACGATTATTGGATTTGGTATTAGTGATAATTCTTAAGATCGTGAAAGGTTTGAATCCAGGAGTCATTTCAAAAGTAGGTTGAGTTTGGTCGCCCAGGTGAACGTAGTCCTGAATAGGACAGTTGTTGTTGACAGTCATACTTTTGAATTCTTAAGATCATACTCAGCCTCATCCAGCAATTTTTCATTACTGTTTAAGTCACAAGGGTCACAGATGCCTCAATTTTATCCTTTTTAGCTTTGGAATGCCCTGAAAAGTGGAGCGAATTTGAAGGCTTTTGCTACAAGGTTATGGATAGGTTAGGTTATCCGCGGAGATTTGCCTGGTCAACAGCTTTAAGAGGGTGTATTGGGTTTGGAGGAGACCTGGTAAGCATATCCAATGAAAAAGAAAAGAAGTTTGTTCATAACTTGTCTTTCAAGGACACAGACCGCACTTCTGTGTGGATTGGGTTGGCGTTTCGGCATCAAACGGGCGGATATGTATGGAACAATGGAGAATTATTTAACAGTTCTGTTTCCGTCGAGTGGATCGGCAACATGTCAAGACGTTTTTATGAAAATAAATGCGTCGAAATCTTGAAAAACGGCTGGAAACTCTCGAAATGTTGCAAGGAAAACGAATATTTCATCTGTGAGAGACCCAAAGGTGAGTTGTTCCTGTTGGGAACTTGGCATTAAAAATGTTGGGGTGGCTCCGATCGTACCAGGTACGACAGGAGCACAGGTAGAATTTGACCAGTTGGGGCGTTTTCCAAATACTCCTAAATGATCAGCGTTAGAGCTGTCTCATGATCATATGAAGGAGGCTCCCACCCATTTTTTACCCCTTCGAGTTTGATGTTCCATAACTTTGGCTGTAGCGCATGTATGGAAAAGCCACCAAGTGAAACAAGATATCGAACATCGAATTTAATTTTGGAGTGTGTTTTGTTGACATAGCCCCTTCCTTAGCAACAGAATAACGATGACATGCAATCTATTAATTAGTAATTTTCTCTAAATCTAGCAATAATCTGTTAATCCTCAAGTGTGCTAATAGTTTAGACCGTTGTCTTAACCCTGAAAAGATTGAAAAAAATCTATCAGAGCATTTTTGAAATATAATGTTCTAAATATTTTGCATCCCCCCCCCCCCCAAAAAAAAAAAAATTTTTATGGGCCCCAATTTGTTCCCTTTAAAATTTTCCAAAAATTAAGTCCATTTGCCCGTTTCTACTGGGGGTTTTTTTATTGAGGTATAAGTCTCAAAAAAAAAAAAAAAAAAACCTGGGAAGGGAGAAGAAAAAGGTGATAAGCTTTCCGATGCCATAAATTTTTTAATCTTCAAGTTCACAAATATTTTAACGCTTTTTATAAACCTGAAAAAAATAAAAAAAATCCTACCCAGCCTTTTTGAAAAAAAATTGTTTAAAATTTTTGCCACCCCCCCCCCCCCAAAAAAAAAACGATTATTATTGGGCTCAATCTGTTCGCTGTATCAATGTTCCACAAATTAGGTCCATTGGCCTGTTCTACTGGGTGGTTTCTTAATGGAGTATCATGCTACAAAGAAAATAATAAAGATACCTGGGAAGGTGCACGAAAAGAGTGTACTGCTTCCGGAGGCCATTTGGTAAAGATAAATAATGCTAGAGATGAGAAGCACCGATTTTTGATTCACTTCATGGAAATTATCGGTCTGAAGAAAACGGAAATAAATGTAAGTACCGAGTCATAGAGCGGGCTTAAGGCTGGGGGAAATTCATAACAATAATAGATTTCAAAGTGGATGCGGCGAAATTACATCTCCTTTACTCAAAGCCTAATTTGCATAAAGATGTACCTCAACAACGTCAAACTTGGCAGTAACATAACACTTAGTGTCCTTAACTTACTGTTCACTTTAAGTTTTGAATTTTTTCGTCACGTGACCTTTTATAACAGTTTTCTTACGTGAAGCGAACAGTGAAAATGGGCCGCCGGGATGACATAACTAAACCGTTATAAGTTGAGAAACCAACAAATTTCAGTGGTTATCCCCTTTTTAATGGTTATCCCCTTAAAAGAAATCTGTCCTGAATGGCCGACTACATGTTGCCGGTAAAGAGTAATTGTCAAAAATAGGTCACGTGGTCTTCCTTCATTCAGGACACGGTTTGTATCTATGCATCAATACCTTAAATACATCATATTAATATTTGGCCGCCACAATAATCAAAGGGTGCCTCTGGCTAACTCGTGGATTTACTATTTTAGACATGAAAGCTGATAATCAACTTGCAGTAGCTATAGTCTACCGATATTAGTCTGTCAAAACATGGTTCATACAATGCAGTATGCAGTATTATTAGTTTGCCAGTTAATGTTGGACACATTTTAAGATAAAAATATATGAGAAGGGGCTTGGACTTTTCTGGCAATTCCATCATTCAGCACTATTGTTTACTCACTCTAGTATTGATTTTCCTGTCGTAACACAGTGGCTCATCCCAAGTTCCCTGTCTAGTCATTTTTATTATTATTATGCCTTCAATAATTGTTAATTCTAATCTTTCCAGAAATCCCTCAAATGTTATTATTATCTTCATGATCACCATATTTTATTTCCCGGCTCTGACTGATGATTTTTGCATGTTTTATACTTAAATTGAGTCATTACTAGCTATCTCATATACAAATTATAGCAAACAGGTCTTTCTTGCATTTTCCAAAGTATAATGTTAAGCAAATTCATTCAGTATTGTCCACTCTAGTTTTACGAGTTATGCATACATCAAGTACTAGTTTTTTTGCGACTTAGTGTATTTTGTTCGCATCAAATTTTGTAACTGATGATTGATAACACAACTGATAACAGCAAGTACACAATACATTTAGAGCTAAACTTTATGCTATTCACATCTACAATTTCCATTTCATGTGCCTCACCTGCCACAGCAGTACACCTAGGGCGCTTTCCATTTGTCAGAACTGGCCGGCCGGACCTTTGTCCGACCAGTCAGCTGGAAAATGAAATGAGCTTTTTCCACGAGTTTTTGCTGAAAAATTATCTCCTTCGAGCATCCTATTTAAGCTTTGATTGATCTGGCTGAATAGTTTTTGATTAAAAGTGAAATTCTCATTAAGACGGGAACGGTCTGGCCGGTCAGTGGAGACAAATGGAAAGCGCCCTTAGTCACACAACAGTCACACAACAGTAAGATGAACAAGTATTTTTTCCTACAGTTCTACCGGCTCTACACAGTCTACTTGAAAGTTTTTCATTTGCCAGACAAATGTGGAGTTCTGTACTTGATCAGGACATAATATAAAGCTCAATACAGTTCTATTCGACCTAAACTTACTCTTTTCGGATCAACATTTTAATAAGTTTAATTTTCTTTGTACATATATTCGTCATCTCGACGTTCACTGCCACGGCGACCGCCTCCAAATTTACAAGTAGACTTAAACTTACTTCGTGAACGTTCCCATGCTTTTCTAACTTTATTCCTCCTAGTTTGTCTTCCATTCGATGTTTACTTAGTGCAGGTTGACCACATATGTTTTATGGTTTCGCATCATGAACTCCTCAATTGTTCAGTGCAGCCAATGCTTGAGTGGCGTGCTTACAATACTTGTTTCCTTCAAGAAGTGCTCGTTTATCAGTATTGCTCATTATAGTTTGACAAATAAAACTCACTCTCGTCAACGCTTAAAACATTAGCATCATTTTCAGGTCATTTTCCAGTTAGCTTGAAGTTATTTACCGGCTTAATACACTCCTTGTGAGCTTAGCTTGGGGAGTCGAAGAGAAATTGCTCATCTCTTCGTCATGTTAAGCGCCTGGACGACTCAAAAAGCTTCAAGAGTTCATGAAAAACTGTCTCCAGCAAGTTATATTAGCCATAACGCTAATTCGAAACATTCCAAGTCCACATGAAGACAACATACCTTCCTCTGAAAGAAATTAAATGAACTGCAAAAACCGTGGACGAAGATCCTGCCTAGTTATAATAAAATGTTGAATCTCTAGAAAAGAGATCTAATCAGCCAAAATATTAAGAACCAAAAGCGAGAAGTCCAAAGACTACTGCAAAGCTGATCAGAACAACACTAGAGAAAATTCATTCTTCATGTCACTCAGTTCGTAAGGGTAGGGAGTCGCATTTGATAGATAAGGCCATGATTCTTGAACCTAATGGCCTAAACTGCCGTGACGAATTATGTAATCCATATCCTTATTATTTTCTTTTCCAGTTTTTTTGTGTTGTACGTCATTTCCGCCTCTCCCTTTTAAACAATTTTTATTGCGACATTCTCCATCTATATAATATTGTGATTCTTATCATAAGTTCAGTAACATCTGTAAACCGGAAGAAGGCTGGTATAGGGTATGACCAGCCGAAATATTGTCATGAAAAACAATACACGTTGTTCTGATCAGTTTTGCGGCAGTCTTTGCACTTCTCGTTTTTGGTTCTTCCTATGAAAGCTACAAAATCACATCATCGAATGCTGGGGCATGCACAATGCACGTTCAGCACTTCTGTCAGGAACGATCCATCTACGAGGAGCGCAAGCGGTGATATTTTTGCACGGCTCTGGCGGCGCATCAAAGAATTTGGAATTGAAGGGCAAATTCCTAGAATATCTTCGCCAGTTAAGCTAGAGGAAAGGTGTTAAAAAACCTCAGGATCCAAAACAACACGTCAATCAAAATATCACTTGGACCTTTTCGCTAATGAAGAGCTATCACGCGGCTAAGCTTGAATTAGACATATATTGAAATAGGAACTCGTGTCGATAAAGTATCAGAAGTGAGTGGGAATCGCTCCTGGTTGAAAAACTGGTTCAAAGGGATATGCATCTCGTCTAGTTAAGAGAAGGGAATCAGAACTGCTTTTCATGCAGGAACAGGTTTTCTTCGGGCTAACTACAACACTTCAGCTTATTTTTTGTAAAGATAACTTTTTCCGCTTTATCAGCTTTTTTTGTATTCTATTCCATTAATGTTTAACCTCCCTCAAAAAGCCAAATAATATAAATGCTGTTGTTAAAAAAAGCGTTTTACCTGTTCTCGTGAATTCGCTTTCCAAAGATCACTATGCTCAAAGGACAGGGCAAAATTTCCAGGAGAGAGGCATTAATTTTTTTTCCCACGAGGTTACAAAGAGCAAATACAATGATTATTATTAATGTAACCATCAGGTATACTCTACCCATGAGTTTACGGACAGCAAATGCAGTTATTATTATTAATGTAACCATCAGGTATGTTCTACCCACGAGGTTACAAAGAGAAAATGCAATGATTATTATTAACGTAACCTTCAGGTATGTTCTACCCACGAGGTTACAGAGAGCAAATGCAGTGATTATTATTAACGTAACCTTCAGGTATGTTCTACCCACGAGGTTACAGAGAGCAAATGCAGTGATTATTATTAAATTTAACCATCAGGTATATTCTACCCACGAGGTTACAAAGAGAAAATGTAATGATTATTATTAACGTAACCTTTAGGTATGTTCTACCCACGAGGTTACAGAGAGCAAATGCAGTGATTATTATTAATGTAACCATCAGGTATGTTCTACCCACGAGGTTACAAAGAGAAAGTGCAATAATTATTATTAACGTAACCTTCAGGTGTGTTCTACCCACGAGGTTACAGAGAGCAAATGCGGCGATTATTGTTAATGTAACCATCAGGTAT